GGAGGATTGCTTGAGGCCAGGAGTTGGAGGCCAGTCTGAGCAAGAGCGACTCCCTGTCTCTACTAAAAAAAATAGAAACAAATTAATTGGCCAACTAAAAAAAAATAAATATATATATATGAAAATTAGCTGGGTGCGGAGGCTCACGCCTGTCATTCACCAAATGGGAGGCCAAGGCAGGAGGATCGCTCGAGGTCAGGATGTGGAGGCCAGCCTGAGCAAGAGCGAGACCCCGTCTCTACTAAAAATGGAAAGAAATGAGCTGGACAACTAAAAATATATAGAAAAAATGAGCCGGGCGTGGTGGCATCTGTGGCCCAGCTTAACTCGAAGCAGGAGAAGGCCAGATGGCCGGGAGGATTGCTATGAGGCCAGTAGGAGTTGGAGGCCAGTCTGAGCAAGAACGAGACGATTTGATGAAAATTCTAGACACGTAAGAATAATTTTTATTTTTAGCCGCCTCCAATGTGGGGAGCATGATATCTTTATGATATTAATTTTGATGATAATTATATTATGTTTCTATTTCGAGCATAAAAGTTAAAACTAACAAGATCATAACAGGGGTACCACGAATTCTCGTCTTCATAGGTTTACATAAGATAGAACCTCGATAATCTACACTCTTCACCCTACTAGCCAAAGAAAATATCAATCAGCTATCATATTGCTTCTACTTTACGATAACGTATTGGTGGTCTGTGTATATATATGTCGTGTGCAATAAATGTGTGTACTACATACATATTTTGTTTACAAATTCACCACGTTGGCGGAGACGAGGCATTCATCCTGCGTACACATGATTCATGCTACTACAAATGCATAATGCGAGTATAGCATGGCAGGTAGGCACTTGGCCGAAAAGTGTTCCAACATCAAGGCAAACGAAGCAACAAAGAGACAAAAGAGGCCAGGGCTACATAGAGCAACAAAAGAAGCGAAAGATCAGGAACAAAGTCAGTCTTAAACAAGTAAGTCAATTTATCTCGAATTATTCTGACCGTCTATACTAATAAATTGCGAGAGAACTAGATGATCTGGACATCCAAAATATGTAGGTCATGAGTCAGATACTATTATAATGCGAACACTCGGGCGGATCAAGAGCTAATCACCTAGCTCGTTCCACAGCTAACTCTGGCGTAGATAGACCAGGCGGAAGATCGCTGGAGTGCCAGGATTATGATCGGAGACTAAGACGCATCGAATAACAATATATAACAGCACTGGAAAGACGCTAGCATGAAAGGCCCGTCTAGAGTCAGCACTCAAAATGCAAGAGGCTCATACGATCGACACCGCAGACTTAAGTCACCCGTGACATGTTACGGCTACACAAAAATGGAGACCCTTCTATGGTTCGAGACATCTATTAATAAAGTATGGAACAAAATCCAGACTCTTGTCAAAAACAGCGCGAGCGCGAGAAAATGTCAATGTGCCAAGTCCGCCAGCCTGCTACGCAAAGTTCGCCGAATCGACATATAATCGAGAGAGGACATACCGCAGCCGCCGTTTCTGCGCGGCAAAGGTGAACAAGAAAACAGTGACTGGTTTCTTGAAGAATATGGTCCTACTTCTCCGCAACACGCCGGTCCTCGTCCTCAGAGCGAGCTCTATACATAGTATCACTCACAAGAGCGCCACAAGTTGCTGAAATGTGCTTGTTTTGGATATAGTTATATCCTCCTCATATTTTATCAGCGTATCCTGAGAGACAGAGATGTCAACAACATACAAAACACACCGGATCCTCCGCCTGGAGCGAGCGAGCGCGTGACAGATGCCGGCCTCGCTCACCCCAGCATGCTCCAAGCATCGTTCTCTAGCATAGCACTCCTGCTAATTGCGCTACAAGGCACAAAGCTCGCTATACAGACAAGATTGAAAGATTTAGGCACAGGTCAGACATGACCTAACCGGCACACCTCACAAGAGCAGTGTACCCGGCCTACAACACAGCGACCCACAGACAAACACAACAGATAAACATGCGTATCCAGGATAATATCACCACTATGAACATCTAGAGACTCAAATGGTAATCAGAGACTACAAAAATAACAGCATCTGCATAATATATTTAGTTTATTATCACCCAGAGAATATATCTATCTCTACAACATACACAAATAAAAAACTATAGATAAGTGAGACAGATAAAGCTCGTGAAGACAGGTACGCGCTACACGACACGCCTTTCCTACGGCTCTAGACTGATTCAGTGTGGATCAACATACACAAACCATATAAATTTCATAAAGGTGTACATCCACTGTGAATACACAGAGAAGACATATTTATTAATTAGGACTGTCCAAGTCGCAGGTAGAACCCAACAAACAGCAGAGAATACAACAGATATCACCAAACGATACATAACATAGACGACAACTATTAGATCACATAGAGACGCTCACCATCGCTCCTAACGCGCACACTATTCTCGATAGGCCCTCACATAACACGTTAGCAAGAGAGAGACACAGACCCGTGAGCTCCACCGCCCCTCGTTCCCCCCTCGATTTTTCATATATCTTTTTTTCCCTTAGCTGCCAAAATAATATAAATTTGTCTCTCAAAAACATATCACTAACAAAATATTTAATAAATAAGGAGCGACGAGGTCCTCGTCTGTCAGAGACAACAGCGAAGCAATAGACTAACCCCCTGACCTCAAGGAGTTATCTACCCTGCCTTCGCTCCCAGCAGTTGCTGGGATCGTCAGAGGCGTCCGAGGCCATATACCCCTATAAGGTGACCTAGGTGGGCGCTACTTCCATCTGCGCTAGGGCGACGACTCCTCGAGTGTCCAGGATAAGGGTGGCTACGTACCAGATCTTTGCCAGTAAGAGGCGAACACCGATGACCGCCTCGTCTATCACACTCACCCAAAAACACCACGCACCAAACAATAGAACGAAAACCAAAAAAACCCAAACGCACACAACAGCACACCGTCACCCCCACCCACCCATCCCCTGGGGAGGACAGAGACAGGCCCCAGGTCCAGTAGAGAGCTTGTCCCCAGTGAGGCCGACATCTGCAGCCTCCACCGGGCTCATCCTCCATCTCGGGCCTCCCCTTCTAGAAGCAAAGGCCAGCCCGTTCCAGCCTCAGGCGGCGGAACTTCCGAAAACACCCAAAAGGGCCGGCGCGGAGGCTCACGCCTGTCGTCCGGCACTCTGGGAGGAGGCCAAGGAGGGAGGCTGCTGGAGGCCGGAGGTCGAGCCAGCCTCAAGCAAGATCGAGACCCCGCCTCTACTAAAATAGAAAGAAATTAATTGGCCAACTAAAAATATATAGAAAAAAAAATGAGCCGGGCGTGGGAGGCTCACGCCTGTAGTCCCAGCTACCGGGAGGAGGCGAGGCAGGAGGCTCGCTGAGGCCAGGAGGTGGAGGCGCTGGTGAGCGAGGCCGACGCCACGGAGCTCACTCCAGCCCAGGTGACAGAGCGAGACTCTGTCCCAAAAAATGAAAGCCAAGGCGGGAACGCAGGGGGCGTCTACACGGCCGGGTGCAGACGGGTCCAGCCGGCCTCCACTGCGGCGGCCTCTACTGCCTCCACGGAAGGAGATTCAACCGGTGGAGGGACCGGAGAGGAGGTCACAGGACACAGATGGCGTCACC